CTTAGAAGGTCCGTCAGTCACCATCAACCAGCTTCAACACGACTAAGCGTCGTAAACGGTGGAAGTAGAGCAGTTATCATTTGTCAATCTAATTTATTGGTATTCTGTATCCTCATCTTAAAAAGGCTTTCAATGTTTTACTTTTTTATTTCTTTTCTCATCGGTCGGCTATACAATCAGCCGAAGAACGTAGAAGTGTAAAGTTAATAGTATGTGGGAACTGTTGGGAAGAGGACTACTTTGCTGCACTTCATTTCACCGGTCTCCATTCCAAAACATTACGTTTTACGACGAATTGATTCTTGACTTAAGGCTCTGAATGATGAAATTGAGTAAATGCGATGGTTGGAAACAACAATTTCATCAGTAGTTTTCAACCAATAGCGGGCAAAGTGATCCATTTTGTCAGTTAGAATGAATAAACAATGAGGCGTGGTCTGCCGAATGGTAACAGCGACAAATAAAAAGATAGCTGTTGAACTAACCTCTACGGATCCTTGTCCGTTTGGTTTAACGGCATCAGTCGACACATCGCTTGAAACAAATCGAGGGACCGACGAACTCCTAAACTTGGTCAATCGCATCGAACGACGGACTGGCATTTTCGTGAGATCTTCGGTCCGTCCAGGGAGGCTTCAAGTGTAATGTTTAGAATGAGTTGTTGTATGCGCAGCATGGCGTGCGAATATGAAACATGGGACATAGAAGGGTGAAAAGATTCAACGGTACCGTTGGCGGAATAGTAAACGTCCCGGTGTGTGCGTAATTCAGTCATGCATTAACCGCAAAAAAACTATGTCAAGCAAACTAATACCTGTTAGATGTGGCGTGACAAAGCTGTTAGCTTCACTGTATGGTTTACAAACGAAAAAGCAAAGAAAATATAAACGAGCTGCTTTTGTGATATTTTATCATTATGATAAGACCACCGAAGAGAAAATTGCTTGTTAGAAGTTACATTAGCTTCGCTATCCGTAGATTATTTTTTCTTTTTAATTAAGCCATCCCGGACGGACAGAAAATCGCAACCTGAACCGAGGTTAACAGACATACAGCCTAGTGTAACACTATGCTCTTAACGGAGCTTCATTGGGTGGGCCATAATTGCTGAAGTCTCTTTACGTGTGGCAACGATAAAACAACTGCAATGACATCACAGTTGCGTCTTGATGACCAATTGCAAAAACTCCTTAAATGCAGAAATTTTTGGAGCTGGAGCATCATTCAACAAAAGTTGTAATTTACATAATTTATCCCTGGGATCCTCATTGGTCGATAAGGTATAAACGAAATTTTCCATTCGTTATGGTAAGATGGGTTTTTTAGATGTGGAAAGACTATGGACGGAAAGAGCTCTGGGTAGCCTTCCAAGTTGTCTCACTGCATTTAGGACAGCATAGTGAAATGCTTCTTTTTAATGCCCGAAAGCTAATGTGATTTCAAACTTAGCTTACCTCGAGCTCTTTTGTGGTCCTCTTTCGACCATCATCACTGCTTGAAAGAACTCGAACTCGGATAAATACCCGTTCATTCAATGCTATTGTTTCGACTTCGTAGTTCGTATGACGACGCTTACGATGTACCGAAACATGAATGACACTCATATATAGGTTCAAAACCAACCAATATGAAAACACCGTGAAAAGCAAGAAATTACCACTTGTGCTTAACGGAACAAAAACCCCGACCGATGGAAAGTGTTACGATAACATTAGGAAACCTAAATACACACTAAGATCAATCCATATTTTACAACCATTAACCATACACCTTCGTCGCTGTCTTCAAGCTACCCAACTGGTTAAGAATAAGGTGATCGAGATGTTGAATGCAAGATGGAGAATTCATAGAGACTTAAGTTTCAGAAAAGTGTATGCACGACCACCCCTGTTTGCGAAACTGAGTTTCTAACCATCGGTTCCAATGACCTCGACGTCCCGATCCAGGGAACCACAGGTGACCTATATGACAGAATTTTCTGGTTATGGTTATGGTATACCAGGTCTTAGTTTGACCGCCCTTGATTTTTTTCCAACCGCTACATGCCTCGACAAACATCGCCTGCCGTAGCAACATGCGTAGCACATGTCCCAACCAGCTTAATCTATGGAGGTTGACTACCTGCCCCAGTGGACGACCGCGATTGCCCAAAACTCTACGCCTAACCTCAGCATTGCTCATCCGGCTGCCCCATCAGATTCGTACAATACCGTGTAGATAGCGGTGTTTCAACACCAATAGTCTATCTTCAGCCTGTTTTCTTAATGGCCAAGTTTCTGCGTCGCATAGCAGAACTGGCCGAACTGCCGCGGTCTGCTGTTCACCACACAAATGTGAACTGGAAAAATAGTAGAAAGATATCACAAAATTGAAACGAACGGGCACAGTATTCAGAGAGGTAGTGCCAGAGTTTAGAGCGGTCCACTGAGTCGAAAACCACTTTTAGATCGAGGAAAGAAATGGAGGATCTACGAGAGGAATGTGTTCTATAATTTGGCAAAATGGTAGTATACAATGACAAGAACGCTCACACTCGATAGATGACATGCATACTCGACGGACAGTGAACTCATGGTATGATGGTATGATTCACATTTTCTTATAGTCATTGATTAGAGGTTAGTCGCATTCATGTATGACAAGCAGCAGCGAGGGAAAGTGAAAAACGAGAAAATACAGCGCTGGAGAATCGAACTATCTTACCAAAGCTTCGACGCATTATTTCGTCCAGATAAAGAAAACGTACACATCACATCCAGATCAACTACCATGTCCTTAAAGGAGCTTCACAATTCACTAGGCCATCCTGGTGTCGTGCATCTTCTGCACTTTATGAGATCTCGAAATCTACCTTATTCCGTACAAGATGTAAAAAACAGTATCATCCAATGTACAGTGTGCTCCAAATTAAAACCGAAGGTTTGCAAACTGCCCACCGGGAACCTTATTGAGGCCACTTCCCCTTTCGAGTGTAAACATGGAGTTTAAGGGACCATTACCGTCACATACACGTAACTAGTATTTACTTACAATGCATGATGAATATTCGCGGTTTCCGTTCGCATGTCCGTGTACCGATATGACAACTACTACTGTTATCAATCACCCCGGTCAATTATTTCCTGTATTTGGTGCACTTTCATACATTCATACCGACCGTTCCTCATTCATGTCAGGTGAACTTTTTATTACACACTCGTGTGATGAACAGCAGACGGAGTAAGCCCCATAGTCACTAGAACCTACTGTTCAGTGATGGAAACCGGTGAACCACAGAAAGCCCTGATAGGTTAGGCGTGTTATTGGACCGGACGACAGTAAAGCTACCTACCACTAAAGTCAGGTAGCGGGGCTCGAACCTCGGACCACAGGATCCAAAGCATGTCCGTGACAGCGCCTTACCTATGCACTATCACCACCCTTAACGTTTTCTTTATGTTAAAGAAATCGTAACTAGCCGAACCACCGCATACAACCCTAAAGTAATGGACAGATTGAGCGGTTAAACGGTACACTTTGACGCACCAGCCCAGTCGCCAAATCGAGAGCTTTGTCTTGCAGTGATTGGGAAATTCCTCTCCCGGATGTTTAACATTTCATTCGTTCCCTGTTGTGTACCGCTACTAACCAGTCCCCTCATGAATATCTCTTCAAGTATAATCGCAGATCAACATCCGGTGAATCAATGCACAGTTGGCTGACTGCTCGTGGACCGGTTTTGATGAAACGCCGCACACGAGCATCAAAATAGGAGCCACGGGTTGACGAAGTAGATCTGATTGCATGTAACCCAAGGTACACCCACGTTAGACATCCAAACGGCAGAGAAGAAACAGTGTCCATTCATCATCCAGCCCCTCGATCATTATCGTGCCCATCGAAAGTCCCCGAACCTGCGTTCATCGAACCCATATCATGCCTATATTGACAGTACAACCAAATGGGGACCCCGGGATGATCGTACCTGACACTCAGTGATATGGCTAAATGTCGTAAACAGTGGCGATCATACATCTCTATTTCTTTGCAACTTTAGTTTACTGAACTTCCGATTTATTTTTCTATGATCTTACTTTCAAACCTCCATGTCTTTCTCCTAATGTTCATCCAAATGGGCGGCCGAAAGACAGCAAACAAAACCGACACACAATTATGCATGGTTGTACAAGCTCAAACTAAAAAAGACACGATCAATGTACATCTCATATTGCCAACTCCCCCCAGCCAGTTTAGAAGTACAACAACGAACAACCTTATAACCTAAGAAGCAGAGGCTTGACAACACTTTCTATACCGGGGGACAGGGTGCAATATAGGACAATTTGCTTGTGCATTTCTCGTTCAATCCAACAGTAGGCCATATACATTTTGAAATTCCACCTTAAGTTTCGAGTAATTTACATGCATACCGCATGATTCACTGAGCCGAAACACCAAGGTTCATTTGTCCTTTAACTCGATGAGACTACGTTAAACGGCAGTGGGTGATCACAGCTCACAGATTCGTCAACATGCTTCTAAAGCGTTTGTGCGTGTTTGTGGTGGGGAAATCCGGTCGCTTTATGTTGACCTTTCGCCGTTCGCGAAAAACGAGTCGCAACTGTGAGTCCTTGCAAGATAGACTTAACGGATGTTGACAAAACACATCTGGTTCGGCAGAACGCATCATGTTTTTTCATTACACACTTCCGTGAGATGAGTAGCAGATGGGGTAAACCCCATAGTCACGATGACCTGTTGTTCGGTGATGACCAAGTTTTCGAGAAAGGTGCAAGGAATTCAACCATCTTATTCCCAACGAGGCGGAAAGCAAACCGCTCAAACTGAAAAAACCGGTTTGTTCAGAGTGGGATAAATAGTTTAAGGGTAGAGATTATATATATATATATATATATATATATATATATATATTATATAATCGGTATACGAGCCTAAGCACAGTATTAAATTAAAATACGATCAACTGTCAACAGCTGAAGTGGACACTGCAGACAGCACAATCAAGATGAATGAATCAAGACCAAAATCAGTAAACCAAACCAGATATAGCGCGGAACAAACCTTTCGAATTTGTCGTCGGGAGACTCGATAGAAACGTTTACCGGATCTAGAAGAGATCCGGCGGAATTGTCTAAACGTATATTATACGATTTATCCGGAGTTAAAGCGGACATTTCAATATCATTCAATCGCCGCTTTGCTTCTTCAACGTCGTTCGTTCTTAGCACTTCACGGATGACATCAATCTTTCGTTTAAGTGAATCCCTGGAACGTTCGGCACGGCTTTTACATTCCATTTCTTTGCGAAGCATTGAAGCCGTTTCGTCCTATAACTTATGGGCATCTGATAACGTGAAACTCACCTGCAATACCCTGAGTCTTTCAACTTCAGCTTCTAACAATTTGCAGTTGGTTCTCAGTCGGTTGACGGATACATTCCACTGTTCTTGGCAGTCACAAAGCAGATCCAACAACTTCAGCGAATTACGATCCGCACAATGGGTATGACCGAAAAGCTGAAATTGAAGACAGTAAAAAGCGCACTCAATACCTTCGAGGAGTTAGTGATCAAACCGTCGAATAAAATGAGATAGTTGTTCATCTTGGGCCTTCTTGAGACAACTTTCGACATGCTTTAGGAAACCAGTAAATGAATTCAGTGGCTAAAAACCAGAAAGCAAATTGGCGCAGTAGACATCTGACAAGATTCGTTCAACAGTTAGCAAGATTGTAAACTCATCCGGGGTAACTCCAGCAGAAATTTAATTGGTGACTACAGTAATTGAGTGATGCGTCACTATCATTGGTGCCGCTGTCGAATGACAATAAAGAGTGGAAACTGTGCCGTATCACCCTCTGTGTCTCCATATCGTGTCCTCAGTAGGACCGACTGAAATGAAGAACTAGTAAACGCTTGGTAAAGAACCGTATAGCACTGAAAATAAACCAAACTATCGGAATCATTTAAAATCTAGGAACAGCTCAGTTTGCTCACAACTGTGAACAGGTGAGGAAAACTTAACCAACCGTAACTGAGCTGAAATGAGCAGCTTATATGCGGAAAGCACCGAGCCATTCCACCAATCACCGAGTTTATTTAGCGACATTCCCCAAGATAACTTCGTAAGAGCTGATCAAAGCGAAAGATGAAGGAAACCTAAGCATTGAGGAATAGTTAAAAAAAAAATACATCGATTTTTCATGAAAGGTAAACGTGGGATTCCAGAAAGCTCTGACCCCAAAGGCAAGCCGAGAACAAAAATTTACGAAATCAAAATCAGCGCGGGGAACGCACCGACGTCGACTTCGTGCGTAGGTTCCAGATTTAGTTGCGTAAAACAAGAATTGAAAAATAAAACAAAGTACGTAGAGAAGCCTTCATCTGTTTGGTGTGCTTCTTCTTGCGGGTTCCGCCCATGGACAGATTCGCCTGAAGGTGTAATGCTTCCTTCGAATCTTCACAAAGGGAATAACACCGGGAAGTCGGAATGGAAAGGGAGACGGCGCAGTATCTGATACCAGCATTTTACAACTATGTGTAAACGTCCTTATTATCCTTACCTATTCTCGGCTCAATGGTTGCCTGGTGTTCTATACTAACCACGAAACTTGGCTAGGGAGATCCACGGGATGGGATTCCAACACCTCATCCTCCTCCCTTTCCACCTGATATCATGTGGTATTGCTCACCGTCGAAGGTCAACATATTATTACCCAGGTCGAGACACAGAAAGTGTGACGCAGAAAACCGATACCCAGTATCATCTTCCAGAGCAGCTTCGAGGCGACCACCATGCGGTGCTTGACTTTGGTCACCGCCATCTGTAATTCGACGTCCGGGCTACGCCAGGTATCTAGAAAAGACCTAAACTAGGGGACTGTTGGAGCTCCCGCTGCAAAGCGGGATTCA